TTCACCGATGTTACTGCATCTACTCTAGCAGCTTTTTATAATAGCTAGTGTATGCACGTTTGTCGACTGTCTGTAGTGTACGTAGTATGGATAAGTACTTTGATTCACTAGACAACGTAGCCAAAGCACGCTATCTCGAGAAAATTGCGTGCATTGGGAATCGAGACCCGTACTAAATAGACAATGCCGAATGGAGTGAGGACCACAATGTGTTCCCATCACACACTTATTTGGATCTCGTGAACTACCTAGCATTCCTGCCAAGTCCATTTCATACTCTTAAGGACTTTCAGAACTACAAAAGCCTGGATGCCTACGATCGACTGTTCTGCGGTTGGGTTAGTGGTGTATCAGTCTACATCTATCATGTGAACAGTGAGAGTCCCATCTACGTTATCCGAGCACGTGTTATGCACTCCCAGTCTCTAATTATACCATCGCTCTATCCGTGCATGGGTCATGATGAGAGAATATGGGACAGGCATCATGTCAGCACACTGTAATTGATGGGAGGTCATCCTCGTAGTACCTTATGGCCTCTTGAGCTGCATTTCCTTCCTGATCGGATAACTCGGGTAGCTGAGAAAAGAGGGACGACATGACAGCATCATTCTTGGGATCAAAGTAAGTGTTCATTTCAGAAAGGAGGTGATCAAGAAGAGGAATTGCGACTACTCGTTTGTAGTATTCCTCGGGGGGGGGGGGGTTCTGCTTGCACATTGCTGCGATGCTGCTGCTGGTTAGCACGGCGAGGTATCGACGGCTCAACATCGCTAATTGCCGCTGCAGTAACTGCCTTCGTGTACCACTGTCTAAAGCACTGATCGACGTTTGTGCGACGACTTTGGAGATCTTTCTTGACGTCATTGATATAACAGTACGCAGCATAGACGTCTAGGTCTCTTTTCTGCATTTTTACGCTTAGGGGCTTTATAGTGGACAGGCATTTCATAGCCATTACGAGAGTGATTATGAAGGCAAAACTTGACAATGCATTGTAAAACCCGCTCGCCTTGCTTCTACTGTCAGTATCCCAGCCCCAGGCAGAATCTCCATACTGTTCCGCAAACAGTCTCTCATTTGTGATGACCTCTAAAGCTCTCACGATCGACGGGAAAAGATCGAAAAATACCTCATAGGCCCAGTGCCGCGTCTTGCACATGCTCAACAATGTCGTTCTTCTAGCCTCTGGTGCACAGGCACTTGGGACAGAGTCAGTAAAAACTGAAAATAATATGAACGCACATACACAAATACTACCGTACCTCTCAATTACAGTTCCACTGTTGTGTCACTGTATGTCTACCTTTTTTCTTTTTTTTCTTTTTTTTTC